AAGCATCGTGCTGGGATTAAGGTATTGAATTCTCTAATTGTTTTTGTTTTTTATTATCATGTTTCAGCATATAAATTTGAGGATCATTTTCCTGTGTGTTTTGTAATTAATCCCCATGCTCATACCCAGAATGTCTTTTATTTTCAAGTTACTTGTAGGTTTTCTATTTAATGCTGTCTTTTTGGGGTTAATAGAAGAGCCAACTTTGGCCTAGTTTTCGTTTTTTATTATACTGTTTCAGCATATAAATTTGAGGATCATTAGTCTGCACATTTTTGCAATTACTCCCTGTTGATTAGATACGATAAGTGATAATATTAACCATGGGAACGGAAACACCTGTATACACTAGATCTGGTTATGGTTGATTTGAAGAAGTCGGTTTCCGAAAAAGCCATTGAGGCTTTCTCCCAAGGGGGAGATGGTGTCCTTCGATACCAAGGTCAGTTATGTGTCCCGAATGTTGATGAGTATACCAAAAAGTAGAGAGAATCTACGTCAAACCATGGTTCTCTATAAAAGACACCCAAACATCTATACAAGAGGGAACTACAATTGTGCACCAAAAAGTAGTCAAAGGACAAAAAAGGCTATTTCTCAAGTGTGCAAACTCATTTTCGATCACCTCAAAAGCTCTCATATTTCTCTCGTTCCATATAACACACATAAGAGCTAATGGATCAACCTTCCATGCGTTTTGCCTTCTACATCAACGTCTTCCAGCCCAACTGTGCAGAACATCTCTAACGGTACCCGTTATTACCCATTGTACACCAAATTAATTCAAAAGCACCCTCCACAAACTCGATGCCACTCTGTAATGCCCTAATAAGATGATCAACTTCTTCACCCGAATACGTGCACATAAAGCATGAGCTAACATGAGTGATATTTCTCTTCCTTTAAGTTCTCAGCTGTCAGAATCACTCTCCTCTCTGGGCCCCCAGGGATCCAGATCGAAAGATATGGAAAAGGAATCTCCTCCTCACGAGCAATCTCTGATAGAGAGATTTGACAGTAAACAAACCATTGCTCCTCAAGGTTGTGCCTGATTTGCTTGTAGAGTAACTTCCTGTTGATACCCAGAATTTCATGTATTTTAGGTATGTGCCATTAAAGCTCCTGGTTTTGGGGATAATAGAAGAGCCAACTTGGAGGACCTAGCAGTTCTTACTGGAGGAGAGGTAAGATACCCGTTTCATGCCTTAATTTATTGTTGGTTTATCACTATAGTTTCAAATTCTTAATGTTTTGTTTGTACAGGTCATTAGTGAAGAACGTGGTTTGGATCTGAACAAAGTTCAATTTGATATGCTTGGTACTGCCAAAAAGGTTCATATATTCACTATTCAGTATTATTTTGCATCAATTTGAAGTGTTATATACATGCATAATATACAACTCATTTTTTTGAGCAGGTTACTGTTTCCCTTGATGACACCCTAGTTCTGCATGGAGGTGGGGACAAAAAGCTAATTGAAGAAAGGTGTGAGCAGGTAGAGATGCTTTATCCCCTTCTTTCATTTTATTGTATTTTGAAAATTACTGTGGGTGTTGAACCTATTTCCTTTGTCTCTAGTCTCCTACTTTGTCATACCTTCGAAGAGCCGAGATGTCATTCTGTCGTATATTTTGTATTTTCCCGTTGAATGAATTTACTCTGTTTTTATTTCAAATTCTTATGTGGAAGGTCTGAATTCCTTGTGGGCATATCTGGAATAGAGAGTCATTAATTTTGTAGAGTTTTTTGGTTAGTGTCATTGAAAATGCATGTTTCCCCGGTGAGTAAACATTGACAAGTTGTGCATCTCTGAACAGCTAAGGATAGCCAAGGAAAAAAGTAGTGCCATGTTTGATAAGGAGAAAGCTCAAGAGCGTTTGTCAAAGCTATCTGGTGGTGTTGCTGTTTTCAAGGTATATTCCTCAGGGTTTGAGCATCCTCTGTTTGCATTTAGTTACACTCTCTGCGTCCTAATTGGATTGTACACTATTTCAGGTCGGTGGGGCCAGTGAGGCGGAAGTTGGGGAAAGGAAAGATAGGGTTACAGATGCCTTAAATGCAACAAGAGCTGCTGTGGAAGAGGGCATTGTTCCAGGTAGGTTATTTTGTTTAATGAATTGTCTCTTCTTCTGTTGACCTGAAAAACACAATGTTGTTTCCTTAGGTGGTGGTGTTGCTCTCCTATATGCAACCAAATGTCTAAAAGGCCTTCAGACTGCAAATGATGGCCAAAAAAGGGGAGTTGAGATCATTGAGAATGCTCTGAAGGTTCACATCACCTAGACTATGTTCTTTTTGTACTAGTTTCTCTCCAATTGGTTAGTTTCTGTTTTGACATGGGAATTATTTGCCACTTCACAGGCACCTACTTTTACAATAGCTTCAAATGCTGGCGCAGACGGTGCCTTGGTTGTAGGCAAGCTCTTAGAACAAGATGATCTGAATCTAGGATATGATGCAGCTAAAGGTTTGTGCTCTCACATCTCTTTAACTCAGTTTGTCTGATCGCATTGTGGAAGTGTTGCCTAATATTCGTGAAATGAATTTGTTTGGTTAACTATTTATATATGAAAACAATATCTATTTGTTCTACCTAAATGGTAGCTTCATTTATATTGGATCTTCAAGACACATTAAATAAAATCCACCTTTCTCTCTCTCTGAGTGAATGACTCAGTTGGGAGTGCAAACCATTTAATCTTTGAGTTGATTTCCAGCATCAGATAATTTTTTTTTGGAGATTGTAATTGTACATTCAGAAACTATAGAAACTGGACTTTAAATTATTCTAGAACTCTTTAAAGGAAGTTGTAAATAAAAAGTTGTTTCAAAATTATACTTGTCTCATCTGAAATGGGACATCAGAAGTCAGAACTGCTATATCCTAATTGTAGAGAACTTCCCCCTAAACTTTATACTACCTGGGAAGAGTTCATTTCTTAGTTCTTGGGAACAGTACATTTATGGAATTTTAGTTTGTCTGTTGTCTGTGCATATAGTGTCTTTTTCCAGAAAATGCCCTCTCTGAAAGAGTTGCAATCTGACAGCTGCATCTACTTTTTTGTTGCTAAATTTTCACGCTGTTCTAATATATGATTGAGAAATCTATATGTATGCTTCTTAATGGGCATAGAGTACTTAAAACGGCTATATCAAGTTTTATTATGGTTCAATTAGCTGCTATTAACTCGTATTTCTGTACAAACACATGTTCGTTCTCTTTTGCATAAGCAGGTACGTACCTACACATGGTGAAGGCTGGAATTATTGATCCCGTGAAAGTAGTTAGAACAGCATTAGTGGATGCTGCCAGGTAAGGATCATAACATGTTCCAGTAACATTGGATAAATCTCTCACTTATATTAACAGAGACTGGCAATATATACTGCAGCATCTCTTTGCTATTGACGACGACTGAGGCTGCCATTGTGGACCGTCAAGGAGAGAAAAACCCACTTGCAAACCGTATGCCAAACATGGGTGGTATGTACTAATTTAGAGAACACAGATGAAGCGGTTGATGATCGTGCTGTGGCTGTGTGAGGAAGCAATCCTAAGGCGTTTCACGCATGGTCCCTTCATATAAGTTTTAGTTTTTTTGAATCTTAAATGGTTTCTTAGTAATTGATTAGGAAGTTATGTGAATTCACCACAAACATTGAAGAAATTGTTAATTATCCCAATTCCCAGTGTATTAAAAGTTTTTGTATGGGATTACTGGATAACTCAAGGTCTCATTGACCTCTTACTAGCCATGCCCAGAAAGAAAATAATTCGCTGCTACTATTTATTTGCAGTGTGTATTACCAGTTGGTTCGAGCTCAAAGCAATAAATTCAGTTGAATTCTCTATATCATGTTATCAACCACGTAAGAGATTGTAAATTGTACAATATTTTAGCTCGATTGAAATTAACTATCAGTTGAGTGATCGTATGAGAAGTAAATTCAAAATATATTTGCTCTACGTAGAAATACTATGAGAAATGACTTTATTTAAATTTTAATAATATATTGATTAAACCAACACCACACGAAAGAGATGACAAATAAAGAGATCATTGTATTGAGAAGTTATGAAAGCGAAGATTGTCCATGTTTTTATTTTATTTTGCTAATCAATAGAATTGTAGTAATTAATTTATAGTAGCATTACTTTTTACAAATAGAATAGTAGTTGATTAATACTCCTTGCCCCATTCAATTTAAGTATCTTTGTTTAAAATGAATTCCTCTATTTATATTAATTAACTTTCTAAAAATTATTACATGTCGGTTTTTTAAAACGACAAGATTTAAAAGGAAGTTTTAGTCCTCTTTAATTTAAAATTAAAAGGTCAAAAAAGTTTCATTTTATTATAAACTTCATATTTATAGAAAGAGTAACAGAATTTAAGTTTTGCTTAAATGAAACTAATGTCACATAAACCCATGTGTCCCAAATTAATAAAATTGACAGAACACATTGACATTTCCTTAAATATATCATTATATTTTATTTGTCCATTTGAACTACAACATGTTCTAATTAAGCACGTGAAAGATAATAAAATATTTCTATGGACATTTTTGAATAAAATTTGAAAAAAAAAAGTTTTGTCTATGTTATAGCTTCTTAAGCACACATTATATAGATTAGTTAATGTGATTAATTCATTAAAACATAACATATATAGTTCGTTAAATATTTATTGAAGATAAAAGCATATTACGAACCTTCTCTCAAACATAAGAGATCAATTTTTGTCATTTTCTCTTCTATTTTGAGGGTAGTTCCCGTCAAATCTAACGGATAGAGTTCAATAAATATTTTATCGGAGACTAAGAATGTTAAGTTTTGACAAACTTAAAAGGATCAAAGTTGCTAAATTCATACTTAATGGACCATTTTAAAGTGTATATTAAGGGACTTATGTTGAACATACACTCAAACATAAGGGACCATTCTTGTCATTTTCTTCACATTATATAACACAGGATTCTTTACACATGGAGCTCTAGAACCCGCCAATTTCCTGAATTTCCAATGTTCTTAACAAAACCCAAACCCTGCCTCTGCACAAAGTACAAAAAATCTGTATAACTCCGCCGGAAAAATTCACCAACGGCGGCGGCGGCGACGACGACGAAGATGATAATCGAGAAAGTGGAATTAGGAACGGTGAATGCATCAGCATCACCGGCTTACAAATCGCCCTTCACCATCGGCGATGAAGTCGAGGTTAGTAGAGAGGAAGTGGGTTATAGTGGAGCTCGCTACGAAGCCGTCATTGTTGAACCATGGAAGCCAGCGGCTCCGTCTCCGTACCCTAAAAGCGAAAATAAGAAAAGGGGTTTTTGGGTTCAGTACAAGCATTTGTTATCTGACAAAGGTGAATCGGTATCTAAACGCGAGTTCGTCAGAAAACAGTCCCTTATACGACCCGCACCACCGGTTGCGAAGTGGGATCAGCGGCGGTCTTTTCGAGTGGGCGATGTTGTTGATGCATTTCATCTTGCAGGGTGGTGGCCTGGGGTTGTTGTTTCAATTGTTTGGGATGATGGTGATAATAATGGTTGTAGGTTCCGGGTTGCTTTCAAGGACCCGGATGAGGAGATTGAATTTTCTGAACATGACTTGAGGTTTCATCTGGATTGGGTTGGTGGAAATTGGGTCCGTCCTGAGCCGCCACATGAAAAGGTACTCCCTTTGTACCATTTTTTTTTAATTATAAGAATGGTGCATGGGTTTGCACACACCTCGACTAGTTCCACGGGATAACAGATAAGAAGAAATCATGTAGTGTTTTTGTTTCTGTTGGGATTTGAAACTGAGACCTTGTCGAATGCCACATCCATTTCTGCTTCGGTTCATTCAAATGCGTTAACTTGGGACAGGGGGAGTAATAAGTTTACCTTCAATTTGCTTGTGTTTATTTAAGATCAACTTGGCCAGAACTTTGAACTAAATAGCAAAGTTTTGTTCATACTGTTTTTATGCAAGGGAGTTGGATTTTTACTTATTCCATGCAACAATTTTTCTTATATATGAACATGGAATCTTAGTAAAAAAATTCACTAATTTGAAAAATGACAACCAGTTCGAAGACAATTTTGATTATGTATTGTATGGTGTTCTTACTAGGGTGGTTGATGTGTTTCCTTGTATGTGCTGGGTGGACACTTCTCTGTTATTTACTCTATATCGTGCACTTTCTCAACGCTAGATATGATTTTGCATTTGCATTAATAGATTGTTCAGCACACTCTATCTGCTTATGCATCCAGTTATAAAGTAGTGTGAATCAACTTGGAGCTCAAAGTCTTGGTCACTGGTAGCTAGTGTATATTTGTTATTGTTGAGTCCCACGTCGGTGCGACGAGTTGAAATGGGCCTCTGTATTATAGGTCTTGAGCAATTTTAACCTATTGAGCTAACTTTTAGGGTTGAGTTAGGCCCAAAGTCATTTTCTTTATGATGGTATCAGGGCTAGACCCATATCAATTCATGGTTTACTGATGTTGGCCCCCATATTAAATTGCCCACACTCCAGATGTCCAGTCTTGGGTGTGAAAGGATGTTGAGTCCTACATTTGTGGGCTGAGGAGAAATTGGTTATGATCTTGGGCAATCCTCACCTCTTGAGCTAGCTTTTGAGGTTGAGTTAGGCTCCGTGTCCATTTCTTTGTCAGTTAATATGTATTGATTGGACCTCCCATATCATTGATAACGATCCTTATGCCCATATTGTGTCAAAAATATCTTTATGTTCCTTATCTTCACAGTTTAATTAGTGCAATGATTAGTTTGCTTGTCCAGTATATGCTTCAGGTAGAATAGGTCATTTTGTCTTGAAGAATATCACTTGCTAGTATGATGGTGGAGCATGTAATTGTTGGTTTGCATGACGTTGATAATAATATCTAAGTTCATCATGTTCTAGCCTAATTATTTACCTGCTCTAAGTTCAATGGATATCCATCTGTTTTAATAATGAGGTTATGTCCAAATTTTGGGAGTAGTTGTCTATTGTGAGATAACCACAGTTTGGCTAAAAAATTGAAATGTACGGTATAATTTCCCGAATTTTTGATATGTTTTCCTATCACGATGTCTTGGAGATGCCATTGTACATCTAATTTTTCCCGGTTTTATTTATTCAAAGCTTTTCATCATTAGGTAATATAATCACTTACTCCTGTGTCAATTGTATCAGATGTCTCTTCAATTGGGAACTCCAAGTCCTACATTAAATCATATGATCAAGGGAACAACCTCTTCTAAGATGAAACTGGAAACAGATACTAGGACTGATGAGGTACGGCCTCCGAAGAAGTTAAGAAGTAGAAAACATATTGTAGAAGCTTTGAAGAATCAAGAATTACCTAGGCCTTTTGTATCTGGGAAGGCATTTGTAAGTGGCTTCTACCATCTTATGGCTCGCTCATGCTTTTTACTTCTGATGTTTTGAATGATAATTCTTTTTGAACTTCTGTAAGTCTTCTATCATTTATTTCCTTTGATAACTGTTTTGTCCGGGCTAGCTTGTCGTACCTCGACTTTTTTCATGGGTTACCTCCCACTAGCACATGAATTGGGTAATTTTGTCCACCGAGGCTTGGATAGATGGGAGGAAATCACCAATGTTGTTGCCTCTGCTGCGATTTGAACCCGAGACCTCATGATTGTTAATCCACATCATTGAGTGCAATCCTCATGGTAGCCTACTTCATTGAGTGCGGTCCCCATGGTTCTTAACCCACTTCATTTATTTTAATGTTGTTTTCAAATAGAATTCGTTATTGTAAATACTACTAATAATATTTATCAGTGGTTGTTTGCAGAGGTAAATGTTTATCATGATTTAGGTTTTTGGTCAATCTTGCTTATTTTAATTTTGTCCATAAACACTAATTTGTATTGTAATTAGGTTTATGAGTTATATTTGGAGTATCCAAATGGTGGTGGTGGTGGGGTGTGGGGTGTGGGGGGTCCAAAATAAACTTTGAGGCTACCCAAAAAAAGAAGAAGAGAAAGAGCCAAACTAAGACGAACTAAGATAAATTCGATACATTTCTCAATGTTGTACAATCAGTTCCATTGTAAAGCTTTAAAATTTTAAAGGATAAAGCCAAAAATTAAGTAACTAATATACGATTATGAACATTTCTAGAAGTTCAAAGTCAATTTCATTCTCAAGTGCACATCCAATTACTGCATATTTTGTTATGTATAGACCTCATTTCCGCTACCAACTTATTTGTTCCCATAGCAATATACTATAAAAAATTCATCTCCGAAAAATATATCTTTGTGTTTACACTTTTGCATCTAGCCAAACTCATATGCTCAAACTGATCATGAAAACCATACTCCTGAAAAGCATCTAGCCAAACTCATATGCTCAAATTGATCATGAAAACTATTAACTTCATAGCTATGAGGACTAAGATATTATCCCAAAAATCTGCCTTCCAACCCTGTACCTAAGATAAGACTGTGTGTCAAAGTACTCTTATACATGAGCAATTTAATATTACATAAATGTACCTTGCATTTTCCTTTAGCCCCATTTCCATATGCATATTCTTACTTCCCGCTGTGCTATATGTGGCATCATATATTCCATCTTGCATCCCTAATAATATAAAGATTTTACAAATTAAAAACCCGATGCTCCATAATGTCCAGAGGAAACTTGTCTGAAAAAATTGATGTTCCATAAAAGCCAAAGAACATTCTTACACCCATTGTCCCATTCTATTAAATCTTAGTGTACAAGGAAAGTTATTTTTTCTAGGAAAATGTTGATACTATATTTTTTTTGTTTCTACATGTTGCGTTCACTCACACACTTAATTATCCTTCTTGCTCATCATGGTAATAAACTAATCAAGTTATAAAAGATAAATACATAGACAAAAGACAAAAGATCTGGACAATTCCAAAGTCCACTAAGGATTTGCTCTACAGCTGGAAGGAGATAGGAAGAAGGGAGTCAAATGAAGATTGGTGGGAGTTAATCCCAGCCTGCATCTGGTGGTCCCTATGGAAAGAAAGGAACGGAAGATGCTTTGAGGATAAGAGAAACAACATCCAGAAAATTAGAATGAATTGTCTTAGTCTTTTGTACTTTTGGTGTAAACAAGATATGATGGGGGATATAGAACTTTTTGATGACTTCATAGGTAATTTGTAATCTCCCATAGGGTAGTTTGATATGCTCTGATGAGATTGTAAGTGACCTATGCTCATCATTTATTTGATGATGAGCCTTTTGTGAATACACTGTTACCTTTATCTCAAAAAAAAGAATTTATGCGCCATAACCAAGTTTTTCATGAAAAGGGTCGGATGATACCTAATGCACTTTAGAATCAACCAAGAGAAAACAAAAAACCCACTCTAACAACACATAACTACATGGTACATACTATCTTGTTTTCATCTTCTTACTGCCTTCAATCCTCAGACTTGTGAAGATTAATGTAATTACTTTGTACTCTTCTCTAGACTTTATTGTTGTCTTGTCTCCATCTGGACACCACCCTCATTTCCTTGCGAGAAGTTTAAAAATGGAAGTTTTTGCTACAATTCTTCAGGATGCTGTGAAAAACTAAATAAAAGGAAATTTTAGCAACGACAAATATTTTACAGAAACAAATTTCCCAAAAATAAAGTTAATTAGTTATTTAGTATTAGTACTAATAAGCATGCAATGACCATCATAAAGAACCTACAAAGACACATCAAGGTTTGAGATGACCACCCTTTCGAATTACAACATTTGAAAGATAACTAACTAACCCAAAAATAGCTACAATAGATTGCTGGTATAGTTTTGTACGGAACTTTGTTGCAATGCATTTTGTGCTGTATCTGCAAAGAAGGAAAAATTGGTCAAATTTACATCCATGGAAAACTTAATATATCCCAAATCAGCAGATTAAATTAATGACAACCCTGCAAAAGAAGCAGAAGGTTGTGAAACGGGCAATTTCAACTTTCACTGAATAAAGACGTTCCGGATTTCAAACATATTTAAGAGGAGGCTGTGAAAAGTTAAAAGAAAACGAGCAAGCAAACTACTTTCATTGAATAAAACGTTTGATCTTACGTTTGGATTTTTATGCGTATCATAATTATCCTTATTGAGCAAACTCATTAGCTCTGGCTTAGATAGTTTGTATAGTTAGCCAGAGATTTTTTTGTAAGCTCAAATGTCATATCTTGTAAATTTTGCATCTTCCTGATGCTGTTATTAATACCACTTATCTTATCAAAAAAAAAAAAAAGGGATGGTTCTTTTGGTTTTTGAAGAAGTGTCTTTTATATTTGTAAAATAGTATAGTAGATAAATAGGGGAAATAGGATTAAAGCCAAAAATTGACAAAAGAAGATAATTGGGTTTCTTGCTTAATGAAACGTGCCATGTCACCAGTTTTATGTCCTACAATTATATATTTATATGATTGAGGATCCTGTCTTAAATAACAAGGATATAAAGGACTTCTAAACCTTATTGATTTCTATGCTGTCTGCATGTTTCATTGCTTTCTCCGTTCAAGAATAGCTGATACAACATACTTATTTGCGATCTTTGGAACACCCAGGAAAATGTAACTTGTGGGAAGCATTCAGAAGTTAGTTTTTGTCAGAACAAAATTGGTTTGTCAATCTTTCTTTTAGTTTGTCAACTGTGAAAAAGAGACATTTTCGCTATTGCTTGAGCAACCCAAAAGGACTTTAAAGGAGGTTGTTTTTATGTTCCATTGAATTGATTCTCCTTTCATTTTCTCTTGTTCTGGTTAGGGTTTCAGTGATTCTAGTCCTTGAGCTAAACGACGAGTGTGTTGAGAAATTTGACATTTCTACTTCAGAACCTTCAAGCATTAAGAGAACATGAAAAGTTGAACTACTGTTAGTTTTTTCTACATTGTACCCAGCAATTTTTTCTCTATGAACCTTCTCTTTTAGATCCTGCTTTCCCTTTTTGTGAAAACTATATGTCTCTGTGCTGAAGGGAATGAGATTCCCGAATATCTGTTTTTTCCTGCCTGTTCTCTCCATTCTCTTGGTACAAACTGAATGTCTGATTTTTCTCTTTCCCAGCTCACTGAAAAATTAAAAGAAACAAAGAGATTAGATCCCCAAATATTGTGACTTGAAGAACTAATTTTGCTTCTTAAATATACTTCAATAATCTTCCTTTTTTTTACCCGTTCCTAGGAACTCCCGGCCTTTTGTCCCTTGGTGACACGAAGCCACAACCTTAAGGTTGGAGGTGGAAGGTGCTTACCACCTAAGCAACCCACTCTTGTCAACAACAGACAACAACAACCCCCTCTTGTCATACTTCAATGATCAAGTTCTGTGGTTTATTCTATGTTAAATTGAACTTCACTGGCTACTGATACTTTCAGTTTGTTTATCAACTTTGTTAGAATTTTCAGAGTATAACCTAATCAGCATTGTTAATAAATGACTGTTTTCATCTGTGTTGAAGCAAAAGTTGTTGGTTTACATACCTATGTATCTCTGTATTGGGGTTGTAATTAGAAAGGGAAACAGTTTGATAGAGCCTGACTCTTTTGGTGGTTTATGCTAAACTTTTGCAGACTAGAAAATCAAGATTACTTGATTTTGTAGAAAACCAAGATTACTTTGAAAGTGTGGTTGATGTGGGAATCCTTTCACCCTGTGTCCAGTCTCTCCAGCACACCGGAGATGAGGATGCAAACCTAAGTGATTTTGAATTTCCAATTATTGAGGTAACTTATTATTATACGGCTCATTCATCTGCATCTAATCTATTATTTAGAATCTGGGAATTGACATTTGCATATGATACTTGGATACCAGAATACCATCACCTAGAATGGTTTGATTCTACCTACAGCATGTGCCTAAATAAAGATTTCAATGATATAAAAGATGTCATTGATTAAAGTCTGAATAATCCATAGGCTTGAGTTTCCTTGCCTTTCTCCTCCATAAGTTCACTTTTCTGTTCATTTCTGATTTATTCTGGTATTTGTTTTCTATTTTATTTTTTGTCATCCAGGGAAGCAGAAAGAGAAGTACCATGGACCTGTCTGCCCATAGATCACTTGCTGTGACACAAGGTAACTGATTTTGGAATAGGGTTTTGTTCACCTGTTGCATCATTGCATAATGTTTTGCTTGATGACAGGTGTGGAGAAACAAGTACTTGAAAGCACTCTCCATGACTCGTTTAATGAACAGAATGCAACAAATCAAGCCGAGTTATCTTCAAGAAAAACTGATGGGATAAATACTTCAGCAGGTAAAACATGCATTTCCAGTGCAATTGTAACACAATATTTCTAGTGTAGTCGTGTATCCTGTTGCAATTGCTAATCTTAATGGTGTTTAGTAATTACTAATTCCTATGTGCTTAGCTTCTTGTTTCAAAGTTTGTGGTTCTCAAGGAAATTTAATTCGAATGCTAATTAAATTATTCCTACTTGTTTTAACTTCTATCTAGATAGCTTAATAACTACTTTTGTTGTACCAAGAGCTATTAAGAACTCCTAGCTGTCTGCATTGTTTGATACTATTAAAATATGAAAGAGATTTATCTAAAACTAAGCGTCATCTATTTCTAAGTGCATGTGTTCACTTACAACAAACTGCAGTTGAACAGAAAAAAATAATATCGAGGTGTTGGTGCAAGACTGAAGTTAGTTATGGATAGGTTTGTGAGTTTGAGCTCATTAGACCTTATAATTCTATACAGGGCTACAAGCTCAACCTTGATATTTTTAAGGACTTGAGAAGGAATTAATGTATTTCTACACTTTCTTTTCCGGATAAGCTAGTCACATTTCAATTATTCATTTTGATATCTTCCTTAAAAAAATATAGTTGGATAGTTAATGTTAAATATTAGATGGAAGCTGACCACTACCAATCAAAGTAGTACTCGAGTGAGGTTCCTAAGCCGTCGAATCAACAACTATCATTTTCATATTCAAACACGGTGATCATTTGAACCATTTTAAAAAATAAAAATGTTGAGACCTGAACTGTTCTGTTTCCATCTAAAAATCTCTTAAGCAGTTGCTTGTCATTTCTGATATCCCGCAGTTCCCTTGTATTTTTTATGTCATGATCAGGTTTGGTTAATCTAGTCATCATTTGCAGGAGCCTCTGCTGCAGCAGTCCAACCATGTGCTGGGACCACTATGCCTGAGATTGAGCCGAGGTTGGTACTACCATTTAAGAAGAACTCTGCTCTTTGGAGAGAATTTGAATCCATGGAAGTATTTAGAAAAATTCTGCAAAATCCACATTTTTCACCTTTAGCACAATATGAGGAGAATAAACGAGAAGAAGTAGCTTTACTGAAGATGACGAAGTATGTTTTTTTTGTTGAGAGGATACCAAAGTTAACCGTTGCTGAACTTAGTAGTTCAGCTCTCATTAGTGAGATGCTGGACACTATCAAGGACTTGGAGGAGTATGGATTTGATCTAATACCGATTGAATGTCATTTGAATGATTTGATGTTGAACAACGAGAAGCAAACTCAGCTCCGAAGCAAGTTGGAAGAAGAGGAGGGTAAACTCAAAACATTCCTTCTTGACAAAGCAGTTGCTAAAAACGAGATTAACAAGATTGCTTTGAAGATAAAGGATCTAGAGAAACAACTTATGTCAGCCAAAACCATGATTGAGACAATGGAGCATCATATCAAGGTATCAGGATCTTTAAAGGGTGACATTTGTGATGACATTCGTCACGCTGAGCGTGATTTTGAAGCAACAGTGGCTTCAGTGAAGCAAATCTTCAGCTGAAAGAGAACTTCACCTTTTGTAAATCTTCATATGAAAGACAACTGATTTCGTCGAAATGTTGGTAAGTTAAGAAATCCTTGCCGATTTCAGTTTTACATAGGAGTAGTATGTTTCTCATTAAAAACAAATTTGGTACAGAACTTCTTAGTTATGAAAACATATTTTGTAAATCAGTTTCGCATGTTTCCTTCTAACGTTGATAAGAGTACTTTTTGAGTTACTTTCTAGAGAAGATTTGTGTAGTCGATGTTAACTTGTTTGGGGTCAAGGCGTAGTTGTTGTTACAGTGTTATTAACTCAGTGTGCATGTGTGTCAAGTGATGACTATTAATAACACTGTAATACTGTCTCTATATAATGGTGTAGTTCAAAATGGGGAACTAGTAACTTGAGCAATGGTAAAAATTTGGGAGGCGAAAGAGATTGTTGTTGTGAGTATATCTATTTTAATTGTGTGACTACTATTTAAGCTTAAAATTGAAATTCATATATTTAAAATTAATAGAACGAATGATATAATTTATTGGGATCCTCCCATTTGTGTATGAGATAATTTAGTACATGCGTAAATTGAATAAGCACTTGGATCTCAAATTTAATCCTTATCGGGTCTTGATGTAGACTTATTGTGATCAAATCTTTGATTCTCTTTCATATCATTTAGTGTCTTATCTTGTTTGTTTGATTTATTTTCAGTTACATATTCATCATATTCTAAGGAAAATTAATTTGTAGAATCAATGTTTTAATGAACATATGTGAATCTTGTTGTCTGATAAATTATGTTTTGACCTTGTTAATGAGTTCATGAATTGTTATGACCGGCTATTTGATATATACATATACAATAAAAGATGGTTTTCTTGATAGGTCATAGAATATTCGGGTTTTTTTTCAATAATTACATGCAAAGCAAAAGTTGGTTTCTAAAGTATTAAGACAATAATAATTTTCACATCAACCTAAGAAAAACAAACCATTATAAACAGGTAACATTGTTTTTCCTCCAATTTTGTCCTGATATTCCTTTTCTTCCAACTTGGCCTTTCTTATTTTTTGGGCTTCACTTTCAAATAATATTTCGTGAGAAGTAACTAAAACTTCTCCTAAATTATTTCTTCTCATCACAATCAATTTCTATTTTTAAATTCTAATTTTTCACTTACATCAAATTCGCCAAACAAAAAGTTATCGAACTGTGTTGCATTGACACGATAAATGAATTAACTCAATTACTAGGTTAACAAACCAATCAATAATAACGTAACCGATCACCAATAACATATTAATCATGAAACATATTTACTTGTAAATTTGACAAGAAAACATATGAAATTATTTATTTATTTATTTAGCCATTTTGATAAGGATGAATTAATAAAATTTATGATCTAATATCAAATTTTAATAGGAGATTTTAAACCTTTTTAATATAGTATTGTCGTTTTCCCCTTCTTATAAGATATAAAACTTTTAGCTACACATTAATGCTTTCAAATTGACAAAGATTTTTAATTCAAGCTAGTAACATGTTAGTGATTTATTTACCATACATTATTTTTGGATCTTAATATAAAAAACTTATTTTACTAATATAAAGATTTCAATAATTTAATTTAAACTTCTAAAATATTTGTATTGTTAAAAATTTAGTATAGAAGTAATTCATATCGTATTGTCAACTTCTGCAAACTCCTTTAGTATAAAAGTAAAATTTACTATTTATCAATAATTATTCGTAAATTAAAAGGAGTTTTAATTCGTTGATGTTGGTAATAATTATGAGTAGAGTTTAATTTGAGGGTAATGATAAATATATGAAAAGGTCTTTTGCTTTTTTCCTTTTCAAGTACTTTATTTCCTTAGTTTTCAAAAGCTCTATGATTAGAGGTTGCAACAAATAACAAAAAAGATAGATTTTGATGAATTATTTAGCACTAAGGGGGCATGTACATTTCAATATCTGTTTAAAAAGTGAAAAGATGATTGGAAATCCAAGATTTGTAATTATTATTATTCTTTTTTTTGGTTAACAATTATTACTATTATTCACATAAGAAGGGACCATGTGTTGGGTTCTGAAGGTGAATAGGGCGTCATGCGTAAGCTTATAATTGTAAATAATATGGTTGATAAATTAGACGACACATAAAACTATACTAAAGGAAATATATTATTATATGATATGACCAATTGACCTACATAATTAAAAACTAATCAAAATCATAGAAACTGTAGAGAGAAAATCTCCGCATAAACAAGACTCTTAAATGACTACATTGTGGATGTTATTGTTATTGTGTTAGTAGAAACAAACATATATTTATAGAGTCCTACAACCTTTTCTTACTAGAAAAGGATTAGCTACTCCAAAACCTTTTCTTAAAAGAAAAGAATAAACCAAATATGAAAGAATATTATATTTTTCCTTTCAGGAAAAGTAAAAATATTTATGGTAATGTTTTGTCTTTTCTTTAAGGAAAAAATAAATTTCAAATAAGATAAGAAAATTAGGGCAAAACCCTAACACCATGATGTATCATCTTTACTCTTTACAAGAACTTGAACACAACAACATTGATAAAGGTCAACTTGATTAATTATAGCATAAAGAAGTACAGGTTAATTAATTTCACTTAACAAATGAAAATTTACTAAACTATTACAATCACAAACAATTCTTATGTACTTCCTCTATACTATTATTTTTTATGACAGGTAACTTTGTTCATCAATATTAGAACAAATGGAAAGAGCCACCTAGTGTTTTTGTCTCTGTTGGAATTTAAATTTGAGACTAATGACTCTCAACAACTTTATTAACCACTAAATAATTTCTTTTTATTTTTAAAATATTGGGAGTCATTAGCTGTTAATTTATAGTATTTGTCACGTGGTTTTCAAATATTATACTAATTTTTATTTGTAAAAAATAAAAAATCTACATATACCTAAATTTGTTTAAATATTTTTTTTACATAAAATTAGACAGAAAAAGAGAACTTTTGAAAGTTGACAGGGAAGAAGGATAGCAACAAGACCAATTTTGACTGGTGGTTGGTTGGGAATCGGGACGTTGGCTAACTTGGGAGTTGGGGACTTCATCATAGTGTGCACTCACAGGCGGATGTTTTATTTCCGTAAAGTTAGTTTGACTTAGCACGAAATATCTTTTTAATTTTTATTTTGTAATTTATGATTTATAATAAGTGATAGATATTTATGTGACTATAAATTATTTCATAAGAATAAAATATGTATTTTAAAGTAAAATTATTATTTAATATAAAATATGTGTCATTCTTTTTATGATAGACTAAAAAGAGAAGTAACCAAACTAGAAAAGAAATTGCATCACATCAATTTGGTGGGGTGGGGGGGGGGGGGGATTGTGTAATAATCCTTCCGTCCACTTTTGATTGTTATTATTTATTTTTTAAGAGTCAAACTATAAGAATTTTAACTAACATTTTATGATGTGATTTTTATTATTGATATGTAAAAAATTACAATTTATAATATTTTTCGTATTATTTTTAAATATCTAAATTTTTTATTTAAAATATCAAATTAACTTGTAAAAAATGTAGAAACAAGGTGACTGACAGAAAATGACACGAGATGAAAATGGAAAAAAAATCTCGTGCATACTCACTTCATTATAACAAGTCTTTACATAACTTGTCTTTCTTCATTAACAATAAAGCGACAGGTGCCTAACTGCCTATGTCATTTCCATAATCACTAAATAATATTATTTCATCCGTCTCAATTTATATGATAATGATGATATAAATATAAAAGTTTTAAATTAAGAATTTATGAAATTGATAGATTAATTTATAATTAATATTATAGCAAGTGGGCATCTATAGAATGTTATGTTGACATAATGCCGGTAGTCAATTGGTAAAGTCACTTTCAGTCTTAGCTCGATTCCACTAATTAATATTACCATAATTCATTTATTGCATGTTATAGCCAGCCACTTTTATATTTTACACATGCATGCAGTTCATATATAGTTATTAAAAAAATCATTAATTTTCTACTGAAAAATGTTTAGCGAATTTCTTTTAGTATTTTATTGAGAATTTATTTTTCACAATTCGTTTATTCAATGAGCCAATTCGATGAGAATGAAGTGGAAAAATAATGTTTTGTATAACAAATTTTTTATTGATTCGTGATGGAAAAAGTTCCGTTCCTAATAGTTTTGTATAGTCATATATACTTTAGTTATGCTCTATATTAATTTCTGATGTTGCTTATATACACACACATACACGTGCACGGGAATGAAATTGTAATTATTAATCTAGTGTTTGCAGTTTCACTTTTCATTTACATTACACCATGCATAAATCAAAATCTCAATTGCATAATCAATGCAACTTAATTAATGAAATCATATTACTATCACTTTATTGTTCTAAAACAAGTAATAGGGACTCCGGGCCTATTTTATAACTTTTTTTAATAAAAAATGTCTGTATAGTAGACCCAATTGGAATATAATTGCTTCGTTAATAGATCCAAATTTGCATAACCAAGGAATTTCTTCGTGCGGGGTCGTGAGCTATATTGTGGGGGTAAGGGTTGCTCGCCTCTATACGGTTTGACTTTGTTATCGCTCATGGATGATTTTCGTTAGTATCAGAGCATAATCCATTCTAATTTTCATTTTGATGGTGGGTTTCGATCAGACAACCTAATATATGCAAAATGGTGCCTTAATCACCCGCAAAGCAAGCTTTATTTAGTTAGTTCTTTTCATTTGTATTTATACGTTAAAATATCAATTTAATAGGTGTTTAGTAAAATTTTCATATTGAAACAGTATTACGGGACATCACTTTTACTAACGTGCATCTTCCTTTGTGGTGCCCTCGTTGTCTTCAAATTAAAGCTTTTGATTGCACAGTATAGCCCTCAGCAGCGTTAAAACATGCGTGGGGGTGTGTGGTACAATGACACGGACGAAGTGGCATGGATATGTGCTTTGTGTTGTGACATTAGACTGGCTGGTGAAAGTAAGGTAAAGGGTAGATAGTACACTCAAAAAGAAAAGTAGTAGTCTTTTCGTCCAATAATAATTGTCCATTATAATAAAAAAAGTTGTTC